GTTTGTTGACACCAAATACACATCTTCATACATGTATGAGAGAGACAATGTTATAGCAAGGAACCAGGAGATAGAGTAAACCACAAAGCAACAGCAGCAGATGTGAGGCCTACTAGAGGGATTAAAAGAAGATTGACATCGAAGAACAAAAGAGTACTGATCTACAAGTCATAGCAAGTAAACTGTCCCCTCATATAAAACACAGAGAGGAAAGCTGTAATTTGTTATTATTTTAATCAAAAAGGACTTCTATTTTCAGGTCTTGCATGTAAGAAGCTTGCACATTGTCACACAGACTAATAAGCAAAAGCCACATACACCAAATTCAACATGTCCTGTGAGATAGACCAGAGATCAGTGATTACCTCACAGCTGATCCACCTATCACTTTTCAGGATGCACTCCATTCTCTGGGTGACAACTATAGAGACCTTGACAGCATTAGTTGCTCATGGAGAACCTACAGAAGAAAACTTATTGGCCTGTTTCTGTGTTCATTTAACCAGTTTCCTCCTCTATTGTCCTTACCTGCAGAAGCCTCTGTTTCCACTTCTTAGCCCTCTTGCTCTGCCCACACCCTCTTCTCTCTGATCCTGCCTTTAAGATTTCCTTTATGTGCTTTTATATTCTAAGGATTCCTGGGTCCTTCCTGAGTCCATGACTCAGGCTGATATCTGAGTCTCGATGTGCATGCCTTTATCATCAAAGGCATAGCTCCTTCCCTGTGTCAGTGGCCAGAAAAGTGCCCCAAAATCTTTCCTAAATGAGATCCTCCTTTGAAGTATCCTCATCAGTCTTTGTCATTATTTCCAGTGCACTGTTTAAAATTTATCTTTTAAAAATATTTCATTGTTCTGTATGCATGCCCCAATACTTGAAGAAAGAAGACTTGGTTCATCTTGATCCATTCCATGTTCTGAACCCACACTTGGATCATCAGGAATAACTGGTGATGGATACCAGAGAAAGGAGGGAGGAGCTGAGCTTTTCGCCTGTGCAAGGGTCTAACAGGACTTATTGGATTTGGTATATGTGGCCTTGCTTATTAGTCTGAGTGACAATGTGCAAGCATCTACTCCACAGACTAGGTCTCTAGTGGCCACTTTCTCCAACCCAGTCCCATAGTAGGAAACATATATCAGTGAAGGTCTGTGCCTCTCTCCTGTGTCCCAAATCAATGCCAACCTGTCTTCTGCTTCACTTTCTCCTGCTCCAGCACTTACTGGAGGGAAGTAAACCTGTCCGTTGTCTCAGACAAGTGTTAAGGAATGGAACAAGCTTTGGATGTCTTTAGGTTCTGCAAACTAGGTAGAATGTTACTGTGTCTCATCTTCTGGGAATCAAGCCTATGCTTATTCACTTGTTTAAAGAATTCTTGGCTGTATTTTTATGTATAAGTGTACTCAGTTACCCATTTTAAGAGGAATCCTAGGTAAAAATTGCTTTGGGGTCACCATTGTAATCATGAACTGTTGGTAAGCACAGAGGGAGAAAAGGTATATACACACAACATATCTTCCTTCTTAAACAAAAGGATCCTTTCTTTGGCAAAAATTCTTATTCTATTGAGAGATGCAGGGCCATCCTGGACAACTGTTCAGGTGTCTGAGGGAAGAGATAATCCTGGCTAAGAACACAGTTGCAGCTAAAATTCTGTCTGGTATACCTCACTTGACTTTGATGACAAAAGTGTAGGACTTAAACGAAGACAGCATCTTTCAGTTTGTCCTCATTCCCTCAGTAATGTCCTCAGAATTTCTCAGTGGTTGTTACTTCACCAACAGATGTGCTCATGAAGAGCAAAAGCAGAGATGTTGACTGAGTAATTCCAAGCAGGCCTGTACAAGGAATAATATGGAAATAATATGGGAATAGGAGGCACCAAGGTTTAGGATTTCCCTCAAAACTACTGTCACTGGACCAAATGGGCATCTTCATAGTGTCCTGGCCCTAATGTAAGAATGTAAAAAGAGTTGCACATTCAGGTACAATATCATATATATTATTGGCCTTAGAGAACGAACAGGAAATTTTGTTTCCTTTCACATTTCATGGTTGAACAAAAGAGGAACTGAGAGAGAACTGGATTCTCATTGTCCTGTGGCCTGAAGCTGTCTCTGTGCAGGGCTGAGGAAGAAACTTCTGCGTGAATAGGAACATGTGACTCAAGACACATTTTGTACCCACTTCCCCATGACCTTGGAGCCCTGTGTAAATCGCTGCTGCTTGTATATGAGCAGCAATAATAATCAGCCTCATCCTCAGCCTGAAGGCTAGAAATAGTCAGAGAGGCTGAATTGCCAGACTGGGAGCCAGAGAAGCGATCAGGTACACTGGAGGGACGATTAGTGACTCCATAAATCAGGATTTTGGGAGATGCTCCTGGGAGATTTCAATACCAGGAGACATTATTATAAATCTCAATATCATTGCTGGTTCCAGTGCAGGAGATGGTGACTGACTGTCCCACAGACCCAGAGGCTGATGGAGGTTGAGTCAGAGCAGACTGGGACCAGGAACCTGAAAAGATAGAAAAACACACTCTGTTTTTTCATTGTTGGTGAGCCAGAGCTGGGGAAGATACATTAGCCCATATGTCCCTGTCTCCCTTCCCTGGGGAATCACCTGTGCCCTGAGTGAGGAGAGTAAGGACAAGCAGAGCCCAGGCCATGGTAGTGATGCCCGAAGAATCTGCCTCTCTGCCTCCTAAGCCCCAACAATGGGCCTGGCTCCACAGACCTCTCTTATCCCCTCCCATGACTCAGAGGGGGGAGGGGCTTCCATGCAAATCTGTTTCTAGCACCTACCTCTCCTCCCCCAACACTTAGATGCCTTGAATTCTGGATATCTCTGCCTTACTGGTCAAAAAGCTTAGCTGAGGGGATTAAAATGGTTTGATTGCATTTTCTCAATCAAGATAGACTGAGCTTGTGACAGTGCTGAGGAATTAGAGCCCCTTTGGAATGTCCCTAACCTTCCAATAGTGGAGGTTCTGTGAATGTCACATAAAGATTCCCAGGACTTCTGTGTGCTGTGTGAGATATCCTGAGAACATAGTATCAGGATGGTGGATAGCTCCATTCTCTCCCCTTCTCAGGAAGAGATATGGCTGGGAGAAACACACACAATCCTCAATCTGCTCAACTTCTCCTGGCCCTTTCAGTTAGGATGTATGTCCAGATATTGCTGAGCCCTTTGCCTTGGGAAAAAATTGGGGCTGGATTTGATGATGAGACCTGTTATTATTGATAAAATAAT